AGATTAGCAGCTCCTTATCTTCACAAGGTGGAAAAAATGACTAAATTAGCCTGGAAAAAGCAAATAGTTCCTGGCACGCGCTGCGGCCCGTTGACGACCGCCCTAATCAACTGCCCGGATGACGAGGTTACGTGGGGGAGGGCACATTTGCCTTTATAGGAGCGCTTTTTTCGGTATTTTCTGTTTCATGTTTGCGACGATCGACCCTTTTACGACGACCGAAGAGGGGAGGTGGGGGAATGTGGCAGGAGAGTCGTGATTCGCCGCCCCGGTGGACGTCGTGTGCGACGTCGCGCCCCCTAATGATACGCTTTTAGGTAGAACTGATCCAGAATAGGCAATGTATGACCGGTAATAGACATAGGTGTCTACCACGTCCTTGTCATCATAAAATCCGATGCTCTAATTGGAAGGATAGTGCAAATTAAGGAAACGTCGCGCCCACTGCGCGCGCGACGAAGCGGCAATTTATGGTCCTCTTGTCCGTCCGGCATGTAGGATAGCGAAGAGGCCGAGGGGGTCATACCGCCCTGATGTAATATGCACCACCTTTTCGCGGCGACCGATTGCCGATGGGCGCCATGAGCGACCAACTTGCGCGATCCCACCAATCGATAAGCACTTTTTCCATGATAAAAACTTGCCCGATGTCATTCGCTTCGTAGGGTTGCTTGTCTACTTCTTTTCTTACATGGAACATGAAGTCGACCTCGGGGTTCCAGTGACTGTTCGTAAGCCATGAATCTCGAGCCCATGCTTGTCCCTGGTGCATTTTCCATCCAGAAGAGTTCTTACTATGACCTATCACTTCCACTCACCTTCTCCAGAATACGAATGTTAGAGAAATTTGCTGCCTGCAACACTTCACGACAACATACAGTAAAGTATGATAGGGTGAGGTAACCTGTCGAAGCATTCCACAGTATTTCACATTGTTTACCATCAAGCCAGGGCAATTGTTTGATCAACCACATCTGAAGTAAGAAACAATAAGTTCAAAGAAACAAAAGTTCTGAAACTACTGCTGCTTCCTCGATGGAACACATTTTTCTCCCCACGCTGTGGTTTCAAGCGTTCAGGCTTCGCGACGGCTTCGGTCGCGCGTTCGACGCGATCGATGCAGTCGAAAGCATGCGCATCGATCGTCGAATCGCGCGACCGAAGCGCTGCCGTCGCGAAGTCTGAACGCTGCCTTACCGCGCTACTGCCACTCGGCGACAATCATAGAGCATGCAGCATTCATTTTCCTCTCTGCCGTCATTGTATGTGTAAAATGGGCGCTGTTCAGTTTAGAGAGGGTGGTGATTAAAGATTCGCTAATTCTTTTCGTTGGTTGCTGTTTAGGGGCTGATCTTATTTCCATGAGAGCTGTCAAGCCTTAGGAACTTACGAGTAAGCGACATGAGCGACATTAATGGAACAAGTTTACAGGCCTTTACAAGGTGGCCTCATAATTGGCTGAGTTGTGCTTGGTGCCCCCGTCGAGCCGAGTCTTGCAACAAATTCATTAGCTGCGCGAGAGAAAGTTCGGCGCAGTTCGGCAACGGAGGGGGGGGGGAGCATTTTGCATTTTCGCTGCTTCACTGCTTCCGGTTTACAAGGTCTCACTCTGGTGAAACCTGTGAACTCTTGTGAAGCTGCAGCAAACTCGCTGAGTCACCAAGGTGAACCTGTCGAAGCTTGTAAGAAATGGCTCTTTAGATGGGTCGACACGTCAATGGGAAATACCGGAAGTGCAAATTGCACCCCCCTGTTGTTGGCAAATTAATGCCCCCTCCCCGTCGTTGACAAACAACAATCACCCCATATATATAATTCGCTTTGTCTGTTTGTTTG